ACTCAGTAGTTGATCTTATCAAAATATTTTTACAATAGTTCTATAATTATGTAAAGCGATAAGTCAAACATAAAATATCAAATGTATATGTAGATACCAAATCGGTTTAGAAATTTCTAGTTAGTCCTGTCTAGTACGAGAGGTCAGTTCCAAGCATTTTTGTCTTTAAACGGTTCTCTAAGAGATACTCGGGCTCCTAAAAAGTACATAGATCTTATTTTACGCTTATTATTTAATATGCACACTTTTTATATTATTCGATTAGCATTGTACAAAATGTTTACACGTTTCAAGTGTGTTAAAAGTGTCTACGATATTTATCAAATGGGTGACGACATATTCGAACACTTTGTATTCAAAAACACACACTTCCAAAAATCTAGATTTGCAGTGAACTTATTGTACATGTTTATCTATTAGGTAACAATAATAATAGTAAGTAATTATTATAAAGCCATATAGTTAATATTATAATAATTACTTACTAGAATAAATTATTATGGTATCTACCTATCCTTACCATTATCTAATTACAATATTCCTTGCGAGATCAGCATCATGTATTCGTGTTCATTCTGAGCACCCGGAAACTTATTTTATTCTTTGGAACATGTACTCTGTGGCGGCATTCAAACAGTGTCAAATGTAGTGCGTGCGGCGCGGCGGCGACGATTGAATGCGATATCAATAGAAGCCGCCGGCGCGTGTATCTTGACCTTGTACTTCCGAATAGCTGCAAAATTTCTTTGATAGGTCAGTATTCGACCTTTGATGATGCCGACAACAAGACGCCGCGCACTATCAAAGTGCCGATGTTCAAAACTAGGGATGTACTGTTTTTCCTTTTAATGGATATTTTCATCCTCTATGTATGTTTATGGTATTGTTTGTAATGCGCGTAAGTCCAATTTTTCAAATTTTTTTATATATTTTTTGCGTCTCATAGAGTCCCTAAGCGTACACCCGAACTCCTATACTCCCTGAAACGACACTCATTCCTAACTACAAGACGCAAGAGTCTCGCAGGCTTAGTCTTGTTCTTGCTCAAATCTTGCACGGTCAGTCTTGGTCTTGGTCTTGCTAAAATTAGACGGTCATTTTCTTGCAAAAATGCAAGAACAAGACCAAGACTGCAAGACCAAGACCGATTTTGGGCAATCAACAACGGTATGTTATAACTAATAACGGTAATAACGGTAACAATTAATTTAAAAAAAAAGCTAATTGAACCTAGCTTAACCCTTAAATCAAAAGCTATTTTCTTTCATAAAATTTAAAAAGTTTCTGTCCGACACCGTCCGTAAATTTATGGATGCCCTATGCGCCCGAGTGACGTAATCACTGTAAAGATCACCGCCCGCGCTAGCTACCTACACAACATTCCAATAAAAACACAATAGGTACACATAACCTATGATGTAACTTTTCCTTCATACTTTCATCCTGGCTTAGGACAGGCAAAAATTGAGGAATTAAGGAAAAATTGAAGTCATACACTAGATCATTGGGACGACAAGAAAGATAGTGCTCTTTAACTCTAAACAAAATCAACCGACGTTTGATTTTCGAGCATCAATTAAAAATAAAAAAATCCTTGATATGTCGCGTGAAAGAAAGAAAACGCTTTGCTTTTTCTTTTTACACCATTAGGTTGCAAGCAATATGATTATTTTATTAAGTTCTGTACGGATAGCACTGTCACAACTATATCTTTATACATCCATTTCGGCCGAGAGCCTGGTGCTATAGCACGTCTCATGCTTTAAGCGTGCTTATTGCTGGCAAATGTGAACAGTTGCAGAGCATGTTCATTTTAAGCAGGCTTATGAGCATGCTTTTTAGAGCACGTCTGTACGTACCATTAACAATTTGAAGCCAGTTACGACACGATATAATAATACAAAAAAATTGTTTGTCCACCCAGACCTATCAACAGCGGAATTTGTATTTATTAGGCAGGATGCAGTCAGGAAATCACTGCAACCTAACTATGACGGCCCTTTTAGAGTAATAAAATGAAACAAGAAAATATTTACAGTACAGTAAAATAAAGGGCAAACTAACATCTCAACAGATAGACTAAAACCAGCTTATATGATAAATAAAAAGGTACTAAAAAGTAGCAGCGATAATTATAAAAACGCTCATATCGTATCACCGGTACCATACACCACTCGTTTCAACATGATTGTATATAGGTAGTCTAAATACAATATTTACTATTTTTACTCGGACAAGTATACTGCATCACAGCGCAACGGTAATTGCTCGGTCGAGGCCCGACTTTGAAATTTCAGGCACGGGACCGACTCGGTGACCGTGCTACGGCCGACACTCGGCTCGGACCCGACTCGGTCTAGCGTGGGTCATCCTTAAGCAAAAAACAGGTACGATTTTTATAATCATTAGTCGTAACTATAACGTTCATACATTATTGAAATAGTCGCATTGTTTCATTTGTAATATATCTGTCAACAAGAATTAACAAAATCAAAAATTAACAATTAAAAAATGAGAAATTCTGTAAGCTAGTCCACATGAACAAATTGCCGTGGCACAAACGAAAATTATTAAAAATCTATCGGAAGTCGCTGACAAGTTGGATAAATTCATTCTACGCGTAGACAGAGAAACCTATAGACAAATTGACGCCTTCTTTCGCATTCGCACACGAAAAAGATAGATTTATGCATACGTCTTGTATAGAAATGAGACAGAGCGGCGTCCCTTTCTCCGTGCCGGTGTTTTTGTTTAGCAAACTACACTTTGCTAAACAACTTTGACAGTTAGTAGCGATCTAAGGAGTTTACAAGTTGGTTTAAGTGAGAAAAAAGTGTTTTGTGAGCTTAAGATTGGTGAATCTTGTTCAGTTCAGTTCTTAGAAGAATTAAATTTTTTATCTAATTATGTTTAAAAGCCATAGAGATTATTTTATAACCCAAAACTACGTAATCGTTCTTTCTCACTCGAGGCCACGCTAATTATTAGTCTATAGGTTTCTCTGTCTAGGGTTCTACGAGTGATAACAGTGCTGACGTTAAATTGCGTAATTTCCAAATGCCGAACTAAAGTCAAGAAATAGACACACAAAAAAGCGCGCGCAGCGTTAACAACAACATACCGGGATCAACGACGGGTACCACAAGTGGTCATCGAGTAGACGAACAGCGACAAAAAAGGGATATATTACGTGTGACCATGAAATACATTTTTATTTCTTAATTATTGCAAAGAAAACGTTTTAACAATATGGAAAGACTATGGTGATGTCATCCAGTTTGTAATTATAAGACATTGTCATAATGGGTACTGTGGGTCTTTTACGACGATATTTTTTATAGCAGAGTAGCCCGTTATGGCAACTACCATTTTTTTTTTGTAACATGTCTGTCACAGGAATTTTGTAGACGGTCCTTAAAGAAAGGTAATCACAAAGGAAGTTTTTGATAGTGTGTTAAGATATGTACTGTGTTAAGATTAAGGAATTGTTTGTTAAATAATATATTATATACTTTTATATTGTTTTTCCCACAAACTACAATGCATGTAACATATTGAATAAAACATAGGATGTATAACTAAAAAAGCTTATATAAGCAAACAATACCTTACTCAAGCAAGATAATTTTATACGTGGTAGAGCCACGCTGCAGCTATATAATGGTTGTAGCACAAATGGATCGGCTCGAACGGGGACGGACCACGCTCTCTCAGAATACCACCATAAAAAGGTGAGTGTAGAGATCCAAAGACCCTTTTTTACTGATACGAGGCATTCCATATCCACATTTTCTCGATTAAGAATCAAAACGCAGATGCGTTGCCACCCCTGAAGACTAGTCCTCAGGGGTGGCAACGCATCTGCGTTTTGATTCTTAATCGAGAAAATGCGGATGTCTATGGACGACAGCATCCACTTACCATAAAGTGGACTGCTTGTTTGGCAGTCTATTCTACAAAAAAAAACCCAACCGCATCCCAATATTTGTGCACAAACGATGCTGACATAGGTCTCCCCCATATTACCTCTTAAGGAGAATATTCATCATTGTTTCCATAATTAGCAGGCGGATGGGAAAGTGCAGTTTTTTATTTTTAGGAAGATGCTACTGTTCATCTTATGACTTGTTTCCCTCATATTGTCTCTTCTGACAACCACGGGACGATATGTGTAATACCACAGTTTAAAGAACAGTTGGGAAATGAATGTACTTGTGCAGAGCAATGGCGGGAGCCTTGAGAGGCTGTGGGCGGTACGACCTTATGCCACCGCACTCCCCTACATCTGCTGTACAATACATGCAGTTGATGGGGGCGTGTTTTCTAATATAGTTATATGATTGACTAAGTAAAGTTGGATTCAAATGACGGCCATACTTGTTTCCCTCATTTTTTGATAAAATGGTTTATCTATATGCGACTACACTACATAATTAAATTTAACAATTGAAAACTGAAAACGTCTATAAGTGTCTAAAATAAAGTGTTACGAAAGTATTTGGCAGTGCAACACTTGTAAATGTATTTTTTTCTCGTAGTCTTCGGACTATGTCACCCTACCAAAAAAGACATAGTTGACTACTTTTATAAATAAGTTTTAAATTAAAAAAAATGTCTACAGTAGCCATAGTATTTACAAGCTACCTAATATGAATGTTTGCCTAATTTTAGCTAAATCAGAGAGATGAATATAGGAACAAAACAAGTCAAATAAAAGCTTGCAATAAACAATACTATGTTGTAGAAACTACAATTACAATATGATAACTGGTAATTGTTATTGCATACTAGTGTCAGTTTAAAGAAAATGTGATATATTTACAAACTTTTCTAGTATATAGTAGGCTATATTGCTAAAAATACGTTCTCCATGTAAACTGAAGTTTAATTTAGAATATACTCTCCTCCTCTACCATCTCACTCCTCCCTAGTCTTATATAGTACAGAGTGAAATATAATGCAAATATTTTATTTTAACCTTCCAAACACTTTTCACTTACCTGTAAAGTCCTATAAGATCAGTACACCATATTCCTTCTGGGTGTTCTTCTATCAGTGTTTTTATTTCGGTCTTTAATTCTTCCAATTGTGTCCACTTAGCACTACTGCTGCCTGAAAAAGTAATTAGGTAGTTAGGTAAATGAGTAAACAATCTTTTATCCTAAATTCAATTGTGCGACAGCATTATGTTGAGTCCACAGAAATAGTAATAATAAGACAATAGAAATCAATTAGCGCTCGATTACTTCCGAAACCGATGTCGCCACCTACAGCCGTATTATAAACATACGCAATGCACAATGATATCTAATGTTTCACATTACATTGCTTGGCGAATATGTCAACGTCGCGTGCGTCGCGTATTACGGTAGAACAAAGCAGCAATGGTACCTAATTGTCATTACAAAGAGTAATAAATGAAAGTTTACAAAGGTAAATATAGTAAAGTATTCATCGAGATGTAAATTAGTTGATGACAATGATAATTAGTAAATAATCAACTTACCTATGAAATTTTATGCCTTTATTAGTTGAATTACACATTCTTTTTTACTATTATGCTGCAGTTCACCATTATAATAACATAAATTCACGTACGACGTTCCCCGCGCAACTATATCACAAAATAGTGAATTATGTTCGTCAACACATAATAGCGGCGATAAGGTTGCGCATCTATACGACTTCTATTGTCTTATTATTGCGATTTCTGTGGTCGGGTCAGTGCCCTTTTCAGTATCACATCACTTGCGCAATCAGATTGTTTTAGGTCTATTTTCAAATATTTCATTTTTATCTTTGATGTTTTTATGTACCATTTTTACATTCTGTATAAAAACTCTATGAGTGTAAGTTGTTGAATAAATGTATGTCTGTCGTCTATGTCTACTATCTAAACGTTAATCCTATAAAATTCCGATAGTTTGTCAACAGTCTCATTTCATAGTTTGCGAAATACTTTTTCTAGTCTTTTTAATCATGTTGTGTTATGAAACATGGTAGCTTAGTGGAAATGCACACAAGTTCAAACCCCATTCGGCATAAATAAAATAGTTGTTTGCAAAATGAATTATCGATTTAAATATGCTCGTCGGTAAATAAATAGAATGTGAAAGTACATGGCTAAGAAAAAAAAAATCAAGGACATGTGTAAAGTTTTAAATGTGGCAGAACCATGCTGCCGCTACATTTTGGTTGTATCACGAAGGGGTAAGGTAAACTGGGGTAAGACCATACTCTCACAGAACACCAGCATAAAATAGCAGCTTAATGCTACTGTATTTCATAAGGTGAGTGTAGAGAAACAGAGACCCTTTTTACTGGAAACAAGGCATTCCATCTTAGTCCTCATGGGTAACAATGCATCTGCATTTTGATTATTAATCCAGGATGAATGTAGATGTCTATGGGCTACAGCATCCATTTACAATTAGGTGGACTGTGTGTTGGTTTGTTACACTAATTCTATTATAAAACAATTATTTTCCTCAACACTTACTGGATGATGTCTGTCTGCCTGAATCAGCATCATCTTTAGAGGAATCTCTGTCATTGTGTGATTTTTCAGCTTCTTCATACTGCAAGCTATCATACAGAGGAATACGTTTTTTCATAAAGTTTTCCAAAGCACTCCTCGAACATGTCCCATTTTTGGAATGTTGAGGGTCATTCTCCTTATCCAGTAGGTCTGATTTTGCTTTTGTATCAACATTGAGTTTCTTTGCTACTTCCGATTCAGTGATTTCTTGATCTGGAGGTTTTGTTTCTTTTTGCTTCTTTGTAAAAGTTGCACTGATCAAATTGGTTGGCTTTGACAATGCTGCGACAGGAATACTTCTTCTCTTTTCTCTGCTAAAATATTGCTTTCATTATTATTTTAGACAATTGTATTTGTTCGGAAACCAATTTCTCTTCTTTTTTATTGCTTTTCAATATCTGATTTTTTTTAAAAACCATGATTGGTAACAAAAATATTATGGATAAGACATTTTCAATCAACTTTTAAATTATAGTATAATTATACTTCATGATGAAACAGACCAGGTCATAAATTTTGCAATAACAATGAACTTAATTGAAAAGTACTGATTTCTTTTTTCTTATATCTTATAAACCATTTAAAACATGTATGTTTATCAAACTACACACAATATTATATAAGCTAAGTGTGCCATGAGGCTTTCAGTACTAAATTTAATTGCTTTAGCTGCAGGCTGTGACATTTATAAAAAAGTTATAGAAGAGTAGGCAAACGAGCATGTGGCTCATCCTATAGTAAGTGTCGACCACCGCCCATGATCAACTGCAACACAAAGGAAATCCATGGTGCATTGCTGGCCATTAAAAAAGAGTAGGCTCTTTTCTCAAAGGTCTCTAAGTTGTATCGGTTTGGAAAAATCATTGGTGGTAGTCACTAGACTGTATGTCGAAATGACTATACTTACTACTTCTTTGAAGATGATATCTTCTGCTTTTGTACAAATTTATCTATATGTTTCAATGTGTCCGGCACAATTAAGGTCAATACTGGATTACCAGACTGTCCTTGCAACTGTGAAATAAATTTACTTTATGATAATATGTATAATATATTATATTTATCTTCTATTATATAGAAAAATCCTTGTGGTTTATAGCCTACCAGTTTTTTTTGATATCAATGTTGAGTTGGATTTACAAACAAAATAAAGGAGTTTGAGGGATTAAGGTGATGTATTTGGTAAGGTTTGGTCCCCGATTATAACAATACCACTCGCATTAAAAGGTAATGCAGTTTTCAAGAAAGTAATAAAGAACTAATATTACCTATAAATGAGTAAAAAATAAAAACGAACGCAATATTACTGTAAAAGTTGGATAGCATACGTAAATTTAAAAAAAAATTATATAACTCTTTCAGTCGAGTTAGGTTAGAAGACTGAGGTGGGAGAGAAGCGCAGCGCAGCTCCCGCCAAAGCCTTCATGGTTATTTTTTTACTGCTCAGAAATAAATAAGCATCCAGAAATCCTTACAGCTGTTATAGGGGACGCGTCCGCTCCCCTCCCCCCTCCTGCTGGAGAGGTAAATATTATTTTGTGGTAAGCTCATTGGGATATTCTTTTTAATTTTTTTCAAGCACTGTATATTATTTAGGTATACCTCAAACTCTGAAAACTAGATTGTACGACAAGTGCGTGTTGCCAGTGATGACTTACGGATCTGAGACATGGTCTTTCACTGCTGGCCGTATGAGAATGCTCAAGGTCGCTCAGCGAGCTATGGAGAGGGCTATGCTCGGAGTTTCTCTGCGTAATAGACTCAGAAATGAGGATATCCACAGTTTTAGTAAGCTGAAGTGGCAATAGGCTGGCCACATAGCTCGAAGAACCGATAACCAATGGGGAAGAAAGGTTCTCGAGTGGCAGCCTCGTACCGGTAGGCATAGTGTAGGGCGACCCCCCACTAGATGGAGTGACGACCTGGTAAGACATGCAGGAAGTCGATGGATGCAGGTGGCTCAGGACCGTGCTTTGTGGCATTACTTGGCGGAGCCCTATGTTCAGTAGTGGACTTGTGAAGGGCTATAATGATGATGATGATGATGTGTATTACCTTTTTATGGGAGTGGTGTCGTAGTATATGGGACACCCCTCACTCCCTCATTCTCCCTCTCTTGCCAAAAGATTCAAAATTTTTATCACAATGTTCAGTGGTTTGGGTAGTAATGATTGATTTCTGTCTTCATAAAATAGCTTTTTTTATCAATAGTAGGCCTATGTTTAACCAACACCCCGGATACGCTTTAGTATCTTGCAGCACAGCAGTTTGTTGGAGTTTTTGATCTTAATTGTTGATGTAAAATATATAAAAGATAATTGAAATCACTGTAATTCTATTATTTCTAATAAATTGTTATTTAAATAGTTATAAATTGTAATTCAAATAATTCTAATAATTGTAATTTTATTTAAATAATTTTTGTGTGGTGTAATGAGGGTGAAATATGTCCCGTGCTATAACTTAATTTAATATCTTGTGTGCCCAACATATTTCAGGCAAATCAATGATTTATCCTTATGAATAATGCTCCATTGCAAATCAAGCTGCAGACTTTTTACCTGAAAATATGTTATTTACCAAAGAATATTTAATTTTTATTTTAACCTGTTAACCAAGCCTAGCTCACCTTCGATCGCGCAATACCAACCTTACGCCCGCCAAGTAGTGATCGAATTAGATCAGAATTATGTAAACATGTCTACCTATGAAAAAAAAACTATTTTTTCGTTTTAAACAAAACCAAAGACACTATGCAATAGATATTAGTATCAAAGACAAAGATATGCTCTTTTATTTTAAACCATAACCTGGCAATGTTTCTTAGAAAAAAAAAAAAAGAAATCACTCTGAACTTTCGGCGTTCCACGTGCCGTTTTGATGAAGGTGCTCCGTCTTTTTTATAGAATTTTATATTTGCGTCTGGACTAAAAACGAAAGTATTATACTTTTTTATATTCCTTGTAATATAGTGAACACATATATATATAATTTGTGGTATAAAAAGTGAAAAGTAAATTGCCAAAAGTGCTTCAAAATCTGGAAGGCCCATTATGGCGGCTGGGTCATAAATGTGGTATTTTTCACATTCTCATTTATTTTTAGTGTAAAATGTAAGTAAAAATAGTTTTCTTACATATTTCAAATAACTTGACGTTGTATTTATTTCAAATTCACACAAAACTATTTTAGAAATATTGTTCTAAATGTCATACAGATAAAATATTAATATTTAATTTTTTTAATTTCTTTATATTTTATATTTTGGTATGAGTAACGAATGGAAACACATAAAACATAAAAATATACATATTTCCAAACATTTTCATATAAATTTCTCTAAAAACAAAAGTGTAGAATTCAAATTAGTAGTAATTTTGTCACTAAAATTGAAGTATATACCACTATACAGCTATACAGGGTAATTTATGTATTTTATTACAATTTCTAGCAACCAAAAATAATTTTATTCGATAGTTTATACATTCAACAAGAATTCCTGTAAGTTTTATCCATAAATATTGTCTCAAAGTGAAAATATAGCAAAATTTGCAATATAGCAAAAAATTTGCTAATTTTCAAATTTTTGCCGCCATTACGGTCCCGAGCGAACGGGAGTATAACATGTCGCGCGCTGTCAGAGCTTACAGGTTAAGCTATTGCGGATTTTTGCATTTTTTGAAGGAAAAGGTGTTCTTTAGTGAGGATTTGTGGTCTATCAAATCTGATGAAGAAGCGAGAATGATTCTTCCCATCAGCTATGTGTGAAGAATCGACGCTCCGGAACATCTGCAGTCTGAGGACACATACAGATGAATCCTCATCACTACATCAGATTTGATAGACCACAAATCTTCACTAAAGAACACCAAATCCTACCAATGATGATTTGTTAGGCTATTGAAATCAAAATACATTCTAATTTCAATAGAGAAGATTACTTAAGCATACAACTGCTAAACTTCAAGATGATAAAGCTTATTCTGCAGAGATCAGACCAAAATTAACAATTTTAAAGTAAGGGTAGTTACAGTCAACTATGATATTAGGATGTCAAACACCTCAGCGACCCCCATGCATGCTGTAAAGTAAGCAAAACTCAGCACAAAATGTCGTGAATATAATATTTGTTAAAACATTGATTAAACCTATAAAAACTTATTTAAACTTAGCATGTGAATTACGATGATGCTATTGAGCATATAACAGAAACATTAAACACAATTGTACGGTAATTATATGGTTGGTATACTTACCATAAAACAATCATCACACCTTTCTTTAAGGAACAGAACTGGATCTTTATATCCATACTTAGCAAGTGGTATGGGTTTTCCAACCATACTACGGTAATCACGCATTAAAGTACGAACATCCACTTGAGTCGGGCTTGATACAACCAGAGACCGGAGCACAGACTTTAATTCTTTAATATCATCCTCCATTTTGGCCTTTTTACCTAAAAAATAATTAAATAATTAACCTTATGAAGATTTCAATGTTTTAAACTTTTCATTGATCTAGACTTCAATGATTTAAATAGAGGAAGCTCTAGATAATAATCCTAGAAAACAGAATACCCATATGTGAATCACAGATTGATATGTAAAAAGCTAACGTGAATTAGATAGTACAGTACACATAACGCAAACCATGGCGCATCTATTTGATAGTTTATTTAAAAACAGTTTGTAACCTTACCATATATTAACATAGATAACGTTTTGTATATTACCGCAATGAATTATAAATAAACTTTTTACATACATGTGCAACAAGAAATTAAAATGTCAACAAGACAAAATGACACTAACATAAAACACTAATTAATTTACGAGCATCTAAATGTTCTTACCTTATCTACAACATTTAAATTTAAATGTTTATTCGCCTACTACAATCTACAACTACAAAAGATTTAACTTAACTTTTGAAATAAATTAGGCTTGGTAAAAAATATCGATATGTAAAAATATCAATATTTTCTCATAAAAATATCGATATTTATCGTAGATATTTTAATATCTCGATATACCGCAACTTATTTTTGATTATCGAATTCGTATTAATATATAAAGTAATAAAGTAGTCGTTTCTGTTAAACCATAGACATCCGGTACTCGCGTACTGTGGTGGGAGTGGGAGGGTTCACGGGAAGCCCCCCTACCCATCCCTCTTTGCGGAAATGTATAGTTTATGAGCAATAATTGTTTTTGTAAAATCATAACCTACTTTTTTACACAGGAATATTGACACAAAGTTACTTCTGCAACGGCTTCGGCAATGCGGGAAGTGCAGCCCCCGCCCTCCATGCTTACGGCTTTACAAAAACACTCTGGGGGTAGAGCAGACAAGACTACGTGAAGTCAGGGCGTGCTAATTCGAATTTAAAACCAATTCGACCAATCGTATCTATAAAGTCAGGTTGCCCTAAACTTAAACTCTTCTATGATAGTTGTAAATGAAACAATTTAATGTGAATTGTTTAATATTGTTTTTTGAAAAACCGCTTGACTGCCGTTCACTGCGACTCAATTTATTGTATATCAGTCCCGTCTTCAGCTACAAAATTATCTGGGTCCGAGTGATTAACTTTTTTAGGAGTGTATCTGTGTTATAAAAACAAATTGATTTATTTGCGATTCGTGACGTGCAATTTTTAGTGAAATTTATTTTTATCGTAATTAATTCGAAAAGGCATTTCCAAAATACAAAAACAATGCAAAAAAAATTATGTTGCAGAAGTGAATGGCAGAGTCGGAAAGGGACGTCCTAGGCGAAAATTTATCAACCAAATTGGCGATTTATTGAAAACGGGCAAAATTAGGAGTACCCTTAACCGACGAGCACCTATGTGAAGGAGGCGAGAGAGGTGTGTCAGGATCATGCCAAATGGAAGTCTATAGTCTCTGCCTACCCCTTTGGATGACAGGCGTGAGTGTTTATGTATATGTAAAAGGTTCGAGCTTAACCCCGACAAACCTCCTAAATTGAAAATTAAATTAAAAAATCAAGTACCGGACGTCTACTTCATAATACGAGAACAAATTGACATATTTGCGTTTCGTTATAAGCAATTTTTATTGAAATTTGAATTTATCGTAATAGTAGTTCATAAAAGTTAGCTTGATCTCTGCGACAGCTGTCAGTAAAATCACGCCTATGAAGTCCTGAATTTCTTAGTAGTACAGACAGTACCTGTCAATGTCATACTTTATGGGCATGCCGACCTAATTAGTGCATGCCCATAAAGTATGACATTGTAGTAAAGCTGATGATTAATGTTAAGTACTATGTTAGACGAAAACAGGATTCCGTAAAATTTTCTCGATAGAAAAAAAATCCAATGTTACATCCAAACTGAACAATAAACCACTGGTATTCATAATATATTTAAATTAGGTCATGAAAATTTGCATACTTACTGAACTAACTATATAGCAGAGCTTATGTTTTTTAATTTTTTTAATACCATTATTTTCACTGTAAAAGGAAATTACCTAAGTTATCGGCATCTTGAAGCTTGTTTCCTGCCACCCGATAAGTCCCACTTCGGCTTTTGAACGAGAAGGCAGTACCAATTACGATCAGAATACACATTACTCAACAGGACGATTTGAAATTAAAATGGAAAATAACCGTAATAAAAATAAGGTGTAAGAAACAGGCATAAATAAGATAAACCTAATGAAATAAGTATCTAACGTTCTATCTACTTACAGTATTAGTGATTAAAAATATGTCGGTACATAGCATACGACGCGCGGAGAAGTGGGGGGAAATTATAATTTGAGCTGAGTTATTATAGCCCCTTAACCTTGACAAGCCTCCTAAACTGAAAACATAATCAAAATCAACTCCTGGATATCTATAGCCAACCCGTCGTTTCTTTTCGTCGTTTACCCGTCCAGTCCACGTTCAATAATACCATTTTGGGCCTTGTCCTACAACATCGTGCAAAACTTGACGATATATCGATATTTATCACGTGTTAAATATCGATGCGATATATTTTTTTCACTTGTCCATCCCTAACATAAATCTATGAATACCATGGAGTATAGAGGTAAGGAGAACAATCTCCCATAGGAGAATATCTCTTGTCTCTAATATATCAAAAATAAATATGTAGCAGCTCATATACAGTATTCTATGGGAGAATAGTTGAAATCGTAGACAGAGAAACCTATAGACTAATGATTAGCGTGGCCTCGAGTGAGATAGGACGATAACGTAGTTTTAGGTTATACAATAATCTTTATGACGTTTGAAAATATTTAGATAAAATGTTTAATTGTTCTAAGAACTGAACTGAACAGGATTCACCAATCTAAAGCTCACAAAATACTTTTGTTCTCACTTAAACCAACTTGTAAACTTCTTAGATCGCTACGAACTGTCAAAGTTGTTTAGCAAAGTGTAGTTTGCTAAAATAAAAAACCGGCACGGAGAAAGGGACAAACAATCACACCGCTCTATCTCATTTCTATGCATGACCTATGCATAAATCTATCTTTTTCATGTGCGAATGCGAAAGAAGGCGTCAAGTTGTCTATAGGTTTCTCTGTCTACGGTCGAAATAGTGTCCATACGTAAGCAGTAAATAACAGTTCAAAAACTCTCCACAACAGCGCTCGAGTAGTTACAGGGAATGATAAATCGCCGTAAAATACGTTGAGAGTGATTTTGAAAATAAAAATTTTGAAAGCAATAAAATAATTATTGTAAAAAGAATTATGGTGAAAGTCTATTATGTAATAAAAATTATAAAAAGTACTTTAAAATTTAGACTGTAGCTACAGTGGCGGTACGTATTCAGCGCTTTCCTACAGACACTTTTATATACAGAGTCTGTACTCCTTACTTATGGAGTGCATAGGTTGGGAGATTGTCCTCCTTGTCTCTATACTCCATGTCCTTACCTCTACACACTGACTTAGAAGTATATGGACTGGGCATACCTTACCTACATAATTAACAAAAATCTGGTGCATAAAATGGCCGCCTTTTATAGGGTTGTAACTCAGCAATACGCGCAGTTGATATAAATATTTTAACTAATATGAATTTTTTCTTATTTTATATGTATAATCGGATTTGTTGCTTTATTCCGTAGGTATTTACATAGATACAGGGCTTAATTTTTAACTGTCAAATAACTTATCTGAGGAATAAATGTAACTGACAGATTTATGGCAATTGTGTAGATAGAAATTAAATCCTATGAATATAGTGGTAGAGCCACGAGGCAGATTTGCTGTTGCACGTATGGGCCGGCTCAAACCGGGTTGGTAGCACTACCTTACAGAATACCGGCGTGAAGTGGAAGCTTTGCTTCCGCGTTTCGTCTGGTGAGTGTAGGTGCCCGGAGGCCCAATTCTCCCCCTCCCTTAACATGGTGGCGGAAATAAGTGATGATCTACCCCAGGAGGGTACCAGCACTCCTGGAAAATCCCTCGCTGTGCATTCACGATCAAGTTACTCCACTCCTGAGCGTGGGTGCTCGGGCTGCCCCGCGTATTCTGGGGGGGGAGGGCAAAATTCCGCTCAAGACAATAGCTGCTCGGGGCAAGCTGAGCAAGCAACAAGACCTAGACGACCCCTGCCAAGCTATCCGTGAATTCCTGCAATATCAGGGGACTTCGTTCTAACCTGAACGCCGTCCACTAACATTTCGAGACGGCGAGGCCAGCTCTGCTCTTTCAGATCGAGATGCAGATGTCTCTACTACCCAGAGTACAAAATTGAACACTCCTTTGTGCCCCGGGCTGGGGTTTGCATATACGTCAGAGAGGACACCTGTTCCTTCAATCCTTCATCCTTTCATACAATCCGCGCATCTACGGGTGCCTCTACAGGTCCTTTAGCGGTAATGCCGAAACAGACTGACTCTTCGACCACGTCCAAATGGCTACAGATTCCCTCCGCAGAGATCGTGATCCTCGGCGATTTTAACGCCCACCACGCCGAATGGCTTGGTTCAGGTTCAACCGATAATGCGGGGGAGATCTGTTCATAATTTTGCCTTGGCATATGGTCTGACACAACTGGTTACTTCGCCAACGCGGATTCCAGATGTGGAGGATCATACATCTTCCCTGTTGGACCTTCTGTTGATCTCTCATCCAGATGGATATCAGATTTCGGCTCCTTTAGGCTCCTCAGACCATTGTCTTGTCCGGAGTGTGATGCGACTTACGCTGAAATCGCGGTTGCATTCTGCAGGCTGCCGCCGTGTTTGGCACTATAGGTCAGCTGATTGGGATGGGATGCTGTCTTTCTTTGCATCCTACCTTGAGGGCGGGTATGCTTCTCGCCCGATGATCCCAACGTTGTTGCTGATTCTGTCGCTGATTTGGTACTTCAGGGTATGGAACTTTTTATTCCTTCCTCTATGGTGCCCATCGGAGGCAAATCTCAGTCATGGTTTGGTCGCTCTTGTAAA